GCATCTTTCTAATCCGCTGTGACCCATCAGCAAACCTACCAGAAGACTAATAATTTTAGGAGACATGACGACATGCAAATATCAGAAACCAGTACATTGTTGTGAAATCTTTTAATAAAACCCATTTTTAGATTATAGGTGCAATTTGCTACTAAAACATGTTGTTGAAAATTTGTCCTTTTATTCGTTTAGTAGTGTTATGTATTTCAAAAACTAAAATATATATATATAAGTGAAACTAATTTTTGGTCAATAAAGGTTTTCATAGAGCATCGGTATGCTCAGAATCAATTTTCTTCGTCGTCTCTGCAAGATTTAATGATTTTTTGATGTTTAATCCACAATGGCTACTCGACGCGGCCAAGGACGACACACGTCTGTAATGGCCAACTAAGTAACTAAGATGTTTAATCCAAAAATTAATCGGAATAAGCGATGTGCAGTATAAAAGGTCTGAGCAAGTCTACTGCGCTTTGCAGTTCCGTTTCTTTCAACTTACAGCAGAGCCAGAGCTCAGCTATAAGTTGACCAGGCGTAGGAAGGAGCACAAGCTATGCTTCTTTGTGGCATTATTTTCCGCCGCTTCAACTTTTTAAAATTTATATAAGATTTTATAGTGGTTCAAAATTTAAATTTAAAATGTGATGCAAATCTTTGTAAAAGCACCTGACAGAAAATCTGAGGAGATTTCTCTTGTAATTAAAAAAAGGCGCTCAGAATACTCATCGGAGTTAACATAGTGCACAATAGAGGTGGGTACTAACTGGCCTTAATGAAGGTCATCGTTGCTCTAAAATTCTTATCTTGTGGAATGGTATACAACACAAAGCACTTTAATTTCTAGGTTATGCTATTTCTTCCTAAATAAATTAAGAAAAGTAAGAAATTTGAGGTGGATTAGCTTATTATTCCATTTTAAGTTTTCTTAATTTTTTTTACTTTTTTACATTTAGATTTAAACAAAGTGTTCAACTGACTGAGTGTTCTGGATTTATCTACACTTATCCTACACTTAAAAGGACACTTCAGATAATCTTTAAATTGCTTTTATGAAGCGAAAATGTTGATATACAGAATTTTTATTAAAAATTTTGTAGCACAATTTAAATAAATTTCCTAATTTTCTTTCTATAGCATTTAATTTAAATTAAATTAATTGAATTGAGTTTTTCTCAAAAGCTTCTTTGCACTAAATTTTTATAATTTTTACCAGACTTGGCAAATAACAAAACAGCAAAACTTCTGAAAACAACAAACGTGAGCACGTAACAATAGAATCCTTGGGACCCCACTCCCAGTCGCATACCAACTTAAATAAACTTGAATAAAAGTGGAAAAAGTCAAGAAATACCAAAGAACAGAAAACAAAGCCCAAAATAATCACGTCTTCTGTTTGGAAGGAAAACCAAACCAACGCCGATAAACGACAAAGTCGTTGACAAGGACAATTCTGACAATTGACAGCTGACGACAATTGCTACCAATGATTTTTATATGACTGCGTCAGTGTGAGTGGCATAAAAATCTAAGTGCGGTAGTGTGTGTGATGGTGTATATTTATTGGCAAAATTGGGCACATATGAGTGAGTGTTCGATGACAGCAAATGCCTTTCATATTTCGTTTGATATCACGTTTTCATTTGTGGTAAATACGTATTCATGTTGGCAACTAGCAACTGGCAACTGGCAACTAGCAACCAGCAACCATGTTGCTGCTGTACCATAAAAGCAACAACAGCATGAATTTTACTGCATTGATCACTTTTTCATATATTTTTATGTGGCAAAATATCTTGTATCTTGTATGTTACTTTTTTTTTTTGGCTATTAAAGATATTTTCTTGTGCACATTATTCGATTTACAATGCGAACCGAAATGAGGATTGTCACTCTAGTGCTGGCATGTAGACAATATGCCAGAATGAATATTAGACTAAGTATGTAGCTAAGCCAATGTAAGTAGCAGCTTGAGTAGGAGCAGTGGCAGTAGCAGTAGCAGTGACAATGGCAAAGTTATAAGCCAACGTACAAATGTATCTCGACAACGTAACATGTAAGCCATTTAGGATTTATTTTGTACTATTTTCTCGGTGCTCCTCCTTTTGCATATTGATAGCTTTGTGCTTATGCATTTTTCATTTTGTGCTCATAATGTATGCTATACACATGCTTAAATACTTCGACACACTATACACAAACACTCGAACAAACGCAGTTATGCCGGTTAACATAGTTTGAACAAAGATACTTTTATACAATGTATTGAGCTGGAAAAAATTGGCAATAAAACACGCATTCTATCAGCGCGCTTCAGTAGAACTTGAGTGGGTACATCTGCTCCAACTGCTCAAAATGCTCCAACTGCTCCAACTTTAATATTGTATTTATATCGCTTGTTTTCATAGTACTTATGCGCTAGTAACATTCAACATTTGTGCTACTCAACTCCCTGCAAAGCAGTTCGATTTAAAGATTTAACGCCGCCGTTGCTGCCACTGCATGCTCAAGTGCCAATAAAAATGTTAAGTGGCTTTGAACTTAAAACACACACTCACACTCACACTAACACTAACACTTCTGAAGCAGCAAACAAACGACTACACGAAAGTACGAGTATCACTGCCGACGACTCACACAGATACTAACTTACTCAGCACTTTTAAGTGATATATCTTTTCATATTGTATGCCATCAACATTGTGAATTTATCTATGAGTTACTTTTGTACTTTTTGACTTTCAACTGACAAGTAACAAATATAAGCGGCAATAAATTGCGCCATGAAATTGTCCGATTACGCATTAAGATATTTAACTCGGGTCTTACATCTGAGAGCATGCGAAGCATAGAATACGAGTAATTCGTATTTTTAGATACAACAACAAAAACACGTCAAAGTAATTTTTTAACTTAATAAGATTTTTCTATTGAAAAATTACGTATGGAAGACAATTTGGGTGGATTTGAATTTCCATAATTTATCTAAGTATATTGACATGTTAACCTTTCTAACAGAAACGAGAGATGATTCTTATGCAGAGATCTTAAGTAAAGAAAGATTTCAAGGAGTAAAAATAACGAGGTTTGCATTACCGAAGAAACTGCTTTTCCTAAGCAATATGATTATAATTTACTATTTTAATACCTTCATATATAAGAAAAAACAAAAAGTTAGGTATTAAGAATTGAATTTATAATTTTATAACATTCGTAGGAATAATGACATCTGACTTCTTGAAACATTGCTACTATAGAAAGTGTTCTTTTCTTCACATAAAAGAAAAAAATTAACATCACGTATCGAGAATTTAGTTATTGATTTAGTGACATTTGTCGTAATAATAATATCTGACTTCTTGACATTGCTGTTAGAAAATATCCTTTCTATTTTCCTTTTTATTTTCCTCTTTGGGAAGCCTTATCGTAGAAAAAAGAATCTATGGATATAAACTATAGGTATTGAAAAGTAGTAATATAGTTATATAGTTATAATATAGTTATAATAGTTGTTTATAGAAAAGAGGGAAGTTTCTAGAAAAAATTTTGACCGAACAGAACAGACATATGGTTTATTATTATTTGCTGCAACGATAGATGCAATAGCTAGATAGATAAAGAGTCAAAATGTCATTAAATATGTTACATTCTCTCCCGTATTACGTGATTGGGCCTCTTAGTAAAAATGCCTATCGATAGAGCACTAAATCAAGTTTTTGTAGCAAAACTTGTCGTTGAAAATAATAAATTGCCGCTAAAAGATAATAATTAATTATCGATGCTAACGTAAGCATCGGTTTAGGAGCAATGGGAATACAAGATTGAAATGGTGAGATGTTTTATGTAATTACTTGAGTTCATTTCAACCAGTATATAAGAGTAAAGGCATCCAATAACGTAACCTATTAAATATTAAAATAAACAAACCTTAGGCAGATATTACTAAGCAAACTTGTTAGTAAGACTGGAAAGTAGTGTTTCTACTTTCTTGAGTGTAGGTCTGAGCATACTAAGCTGAACGTAGGGTGAAAAGAAAATCTCTCCGTCTAACTTTTGTAATATCTCATTTCTTAAAACAACTCAAAGTCCAATTCATAAACAGTAAATAATTTTGTAAATGTTTCATGCTCATTGCGCCCGTGGGAATGTAATTTTTGGAGCATCAGGTGTATACTTTTGCAACTACAGGGCCTCTCAAACCCTCGCAACTATAATTCATTTCAATAGAATATTGCAAATGTATTTCAGCTTTGCAATGAGAATTGCCGAAATTTTTTGCTGCCGCAGTATCTTTTGAGACATTTGTCGTTGTTGTTCTTGTCATAATCAATTCTTGTTGTTGCTGTTGTTGTTGTTCCTGAATTACTACAATTGCTGCTGCTATGCATGCTGTTGACATTTTTCTTACCGTTGCTGCTGCTAACGTATTGTTGTTGTTGTTGTTATTCTTATTATTTTGATTGCCGTAATTGTGACATATTTTATAGTACAAGTATTTATGCAAGTAAGTTTTGTATCTCATTACTTTGTAGCCAATTTGCCTTAATAAGGCAAACACACAAATTTATAGTTCATCATATATTTTATTTTATGGATTTTATTAAGCGATACTTTGCGCAGATTTTATCATTTTTTATTGGAACAACTCGAATTGGGTTAAGTAGTTTAGCTGAGTTAGTTTAGTGGGTGAAGTTGCGGAAAATGTTTGAGATGACAGCGATTCTATGAAATGAGTTAAGTATAATTTGCATCGCACAGCGATTTCTGATATCAGCATTTTCATAACTCGTTTAACATGCAAATGGGTTAAGGGTGTGTTGTGTGTTCATGTGGGTGTAGTGTTTTATACACATTTTTTAAATATTTTTCATATTTTGCAAGCGCATTACAAATATTTACATTTTTTCAACAATGTATATACAAAATTCACTATTTTTACAAGATTATTTGAGTTTTATTGAATTTTTTATTTTTTTTTAATACAAATAAAGAAATGAACTTACCCTTTTGCCACGTTTACCTCGCGGACCCTTCTCGCCTGGTGGCCCTGGTGGGCCAGCCGGTCCAAACTCTCCACGCGTACCAGGTTCCCCTGGTGGCCCTACACGAATAAAATAAAAATAAAATTGAAGGTTATTTGATCAACTTTAACGTATATAGTATGTATAGTATTATATATATGTATATTTATATGTATATGTCTTTAGAGGGAAAAAACGGATAATAGAAAATATTAAGCAATATTTCGTCTAAACCAATTTCAAGCATCGATTGTTTGACTAAATTTGCTACTAAAATGTGCCAAACTTAATTTATGTGCACTTGATATGGTTTCTGGACTGCAAATGATACCATCGAGAATGTTTCACTTGGGAACCGTAAAAATAATGAAAAAGTCTTGCTGTTATTGCTGTTACTATTGCTGCTGCTTGTGGCAATGTTGTTGACACTCTTTTTGTTGTTGTTCGAATGCTGCCGTTGCTGTTGTTGTTGCTATTGCTATTGCTATTGCTAGTGCTCTTCTTCTCCTTTCATAACTTATTGAAGCGTTCGTTGGGATGAGATATGAAAAAGTTATAAAGCTGCTTCAAATTATTTGTCATGGAAGCAATAGCTACAGTCTGGACCAAATTCAAATATGCTGACTTTCAATTCGATATTTGTATGACATAAAATATTCGATAATTAATCGATTGCTTCATTGCTCTCAATTCGCGTTCAAAAGGAATTTAACCCCAAAGCTGGTTAAATTCGTTATAAAGTCCAAAATAGTTCGACATTGGAAATTTTAAAAGCAATTGACAAATTAAGTTTAAAAAAAAAACAGCCCAGATAAGTGCAAATTTTATTTTTTTTATGCAACCAGAGAGATAATATTTAAATGGGTCACACAGTATTATAGAATACAGTCTTAGGAAGGTAAGAAAAGAGCTTTTAAATTATATGAAATATTTATTTCTTTTAAGCTCTTGAACTAAGTAATAATTTTAATTTAAATACCAGCTCTTTTGAACGAATTTAGGTATAATTTTCAATTCTAAATATATCTGTTCTTAGCCTTGCGTATGTTAAATCTGTTCAGTATTTTAATACATCAGAAGATTACAAAAACCTAAAGCTCAAATAGTTTGATATTTTTTATTTTCTTTTTTCCGTTCTCATATAGAGATATTCTGTGTAATAGTCTGAATCTTATCAAATACTAAAGATTTAAGAAACAAATAGGTTAGCTTCAGGTAGGTTGAAATCGCAATATTGTGCACAAAATAAGCGTCAGCCTTCTGCATTTGGAAAGCAAAAGCCTTGTGAACCAAAGCTCACTTAAGCTTAAAAAATGTTTGTTATAATACCACGGTTAAGTACCGCCCGTACGTTAGACCTGTGGAACCACAGGTCTGTGATAAGACGCGACTTCTACATTCAAGTAGAAGAGAACTAACCTAACGAGTCTCTAATTTAAAAGGATGACAGCTTCGTCAAGTTAGTTAGGAAAATAACTTTGAAGGCTTGGACTCTTCTCCTAGCCAATTATGGGTTTTAACGTAAGAGTTGGAGTACGGGTCGCATTATATCTCAGCACTCTTTAGTGGGTAAACTAAGTCTTATTTCATTTCTTCCTAATACACAGTGATTTATCAGCACTATCAGCGTTAAGTGAGTTGGTTCCACTTTAGTTGGTCCAGATGAGTTTTGTGATGTAACCAATATAATAATTATAAATTCACCAGATACTTATATACTATTATTTAAAATGGATTCCTTTATTAAATGGATTCATTTTTTATAATAATTTTCTACCTTAATAATTGAACAAGACTTTCTGTTATGAAAATTTTGTCTGGCGTCATTCCTATGATTACACCAAGATGTCAAATAATTGTTGACGTATGACGAAATTGATGAAATAAAATAAACTCACTATTTACCAATATACATACTTCTAAATAGAGGTACATATGTACTATATGACAACAATTGTAATAACAAAAATAAAAGTAGTTAACAAATAGTGACAGTTAAAGTATAGGAAAGAATAAATAAAGAAATATAAAAATAAAGTAAAATTATAAATATAATCTCTTGAAAATTTTCCATAACATGTAATCATGTAGTGAAAGCTTTATTTTAATCACAGCAAATTGACAATATAAGTGACGAATTCTACCTAAAACGAAGAGGTCAGAGGTCATAGCAACTACAGAACAATAATAATGTGTTAATCAGTGTTATTCAACTCTACGACTAAAACACATCCAAAATTATGAAGAATGATTTTCCCATATCAACTACCCTTATGTCAATTAATCTCTTTCTCCGTCGACATGACTTCGGATTTAAAACATAACATTTAAGTCCGTAAAATTTCTCTACAATTCCATTTACTGGGAACAAAATTAAGATTTCTTTTTCCTGGACACGGCGATTAATGGCATTTGTTAATAATTTTAATATATGCCACAATTTATCTCAATAATTTGTTAAATCTGCTGGTTACTTTTTTCGATAAGTAACGAAACGTGTACGTGTAAATAAGAAAAACTTTTCTAAACATTTGACATAAATCAAGTTACATTATAAAGGCATAGAATGTCAATATATTGACGTAACTAATTACGTTAATGATAAGATACGATAAGATGCAAGAGCATGAAGACGGGAAAAAAGTTTACAAACGACGGTCAATTAATCCAAATCAAAACATTCTTTCCGCATAGCCAAAGTCAAAGCCTAAGACCGAATGACGCATACCTTAAGGCAGCCGGAAAATGCATTGAAGTGGGGGACTCCGCACCAAAATGCCAAATTTGTAGTGGAAATGTGTGTGAACGACAGCGGCGCTTAAAAGATTATCTATCTTTCTATCAGATTTTCTTGTGCAAGGTTTTTCACAGCAAATAAATTGCAATAAAATTCAAATGTTCGATGAAAAGCGGAAAAACAAAATCGGAAAAATCGGAAAAATTTTTAAAATTTAACGAAATTTTCTATTTTCTAAAATGCGGGACGGAGCGATAAAATAATGTAATTTTATTAAGTGTTAAAAGCGATGAAGTGGCATAAAAGTGCTTTTAAATTTGTTGACAAATTAAAATTTAATATTCCACGACACCGAAAAATAAATAAAATCGGGACGCAATTAGAAAAGTTCAAACTATAAAGGGCAGCATGGGGAAAATGTGTGAAAAATTAAGTGCAGTTAACTATAAAAGAAATAATAAAATAAATAACAGAAAGAAGAAGCATATAAAATATTCATTTATTTTTTGTTGTTGTTTTTTATTAATTAATTAACACACATTTGTAGATTCTTTCTGGGTTGGACGATGTGTGGCGAGAGCACAACGAGCCACAGCAAATGCATTTCCGTTGCCGTCAAAAATTAGTGGGAATTTTATATTCAATTTGCATTAAAAGAAAAACTACTTAAGTTTTGGCTGGAGATAAACTTTAATTTCAACTGACACCACAACTAATTAAAGTTATAAATAAAAAATAAAAACAAACATAAAATATAAATAATATTAAATTATGTCATTAGAACTAGAAGTGCTTTTCGTGAATATTTAATAATAATTTTGAAGAATAATCACAGTCCACACTAGCTTGCAACATTTACTGAGTAGATATAGTGAGAAAATTGTAATATTTAATATTTGTTTAAAGAATACTCGTGTATTATAAATATCGCTTGGTTATCAGTTGGTACTATCTGATTCTCTGAAATGTGATTCTGATTCGCATATTTTACGGGCGGCTCGAAAACTGAAAAGGGCTCGGGTGCTGCTAAATTTTTCGAATAGCAAATAGTTTTAAATTCGCAAGCATATACTCTTCACGCAAAACCACTAGATATCATGAGGTTCATGAATCCACCTTTTGAATTTAGATAGAAAGGTAGGACCATAATAATTGTAATTGATAATAAAGTTACGTATGAGTCTCGATACATAAAATGACTTAATCTATCAAGTGGTTTCTGGCCTTTGAAGGATCATATTAGAAAATGTAGTTGAAGTCAAACTTGCAGAAATCGGTTATAATGCGGTACCTTGTCGATCGAAACTTTATCTTAGGTTGCTTTAATCTTTTTTGAGACTACCTTTTTATGGTGCGAGTCAATGTGAAACAAATAAAGATTGTGGAATTAAGATAACTACAGGCACACAAAATTCGTTCTACCTAAAATCAGTGAAAAGGCTTGCTGTGAATAGGTTTTCTTATGACTCAATGTCACAGGGACTGTAGACCAATAAAACGTGGTTTCAGTGGATTAAAGGCTTTCGACTTTCGATGCTTTCCACCTACTAAGAAAAGAAAAAAAATAAATACTATTCTAAAAAGCGCTTTTTACATAGAGCAAAATAGCGATATAACTTTTAACCGGTACTTCAACATTTGTACGGATTAATAAAAAATAAGGGATTGGGGTTAGATTGCTTATTCTGGCCATTGATCGACCATAGTTATATTCAAATGTATCAATTGTACAGCTTTACAGTAATAGTTTCAGTAATATCACATTTTAGCAGCTCATAATGGTGGACACGCTTTTGATCCTACTGGGAACACTATCTGGGCGCCATGGATATTCGCTTTGAGTGTTGAATTGACTGAGTGAACGGGCTTAGCGCTTTATTTTTTTCATTCTACGTAGAATGAAATAGCTACTATATAGTTTGGAAGAAATTTACTACTGTTATTTAATCCTTTCACCGTTAAAAATATGCAAATAAATTTAATTCTCCTTTGTGAATACATAACATGTAATAAATTTTTATAGAAGAAGGAGAAATAATTATTTAATTAAAACCGAATAAGAATGTAGTATGTAAAGACATATATCTTTTATGAAATCAAATTAATTATAAAATTATTGGATATATATTTGCTTGAATTAAACACAAAGGTATCTAGAATCCGAATAGCATATGTTCGAATAATAATAAAGCCCAGTTGTTTTTAAATTCATATGCATTTTAAAAACGTCTGTGTAAATATAAATTTAAATCTGCATTTATAATATTGAATTTAAATATAATAACAACAACACTACAAATAAAAACAGAAATGAAAACTAAGTAGGAAAAATATTTATCCAATGTTTTTCCAATTTTATCATTAAACGTCGCACATCAATCTGCTTTGAATGACGCTCAAGTGACTCAATTAAGTGCTGCAGAGCCAATCAACCCCGTACGTATCGCATTACTTCCCAGCACTCATTTTTCACTGCAGTGATTCACAGCGGCTGTGAGTGCCCCAACCGCGGATGGTAAAGTAAATGACAAGAGTACACATTCCAGTCACATGTACTTGTACATTGATTATCAGATATTTTTTCAGTGTAATTTTTGTAGTGTTGAAATTTACACTCGCCGAAACATCGGTCAACGTTAAACAAAACGTGGCATGGGAAACGCACGAATGCGTTCGCTGCTGCAGTGGCGCAATAAATTAAACTACCAGTAGTTTTCTAATGAACGCCACATACACACAGGCAGGCACGGGCATCTATGTTAGTATGTACCATGTAGTTCGAGATACAGATACGTCTGCTGCATTGCACAATTGGCAGTGTAATTTCGTTTAGTGTTTGCTTAGACACGACCACAAAAACAAAATAAACAAATAAAAATAATACTCGTACAAAAGCCAATGACAGACTTTGCATTAATGCATTCGTCATTTAGCTACGTACCTGGTGGTCCCGGAGGCCCTGGTGGCCCTTCAATAATGCCAGTTGGAAATTCGTCGCCTTTGATTGTTGTGGTTAAGCCACGATCACCGCGATCACCTTTGTCACCCTGTAAAAGTCAAAGGTAAAAGTGAAATGAATATGCTTTTATATGTAAAAGGAAAATATTTATTTATTTATAAAAAATCTGAAAATAATGGAAAACGAAAACAAAAGCAGATACTAGTAATGTTGTCAATAACAGCAGCGCAGATAAAATAAGTCAGAAACAATTTAAGTGGAAAATCGAATTGAAAAAACGACTATTTATTGGCTATAGAAATACAAATACCCATATTAGAGTCAAGCAGATACAGACTGGCTAAGTGTGAATAGTGACACAGGTAACAGACTGACTGCGGTACTTGTATTTGTAGGAGAATGAAAATAGAATACGAATAGATACATTTCTTTGACAGATTTGCCGCACGTACGCACGCACGTACTTTTTACACATGTTGATATTTAAGTTGTCAAAATATTTACACAAAGGACACATCCCAGCAGCATAAACAACAATGTAGGCAATTAAATTTTATGTATTTATTTATTTAGGAATTTGCTTTTGTTTTGATTTTCTAATGAATTAGTTTTTTTTTCTATGAATCTCGATACTCACCTTTGGGCCGATTGTGCCTAGCGCTCCAGGTGGTCCCACAGGGCCAGGCTCGCCTTGTGTTCCGACTGGTCCTGCTGGTCCTGTTTCGCCTGGTGGTCCACGTTCACCATTTATGCCTGGTGGACCAGCTTCGCCGGGCGGACCAGGTGGTCCTGGTGGTCCAGGCTCTCCAGGTTCGCCCTGTTTTTATGAATGAATAGATTATCACAACAAATCCTTATCTTTCTATAGTGTGACATGCAAATAGTGTTTTGAAAGATTTTAAGTAACAATAAACGAACTACTTAAGACAAGCATGACAAAAATATTTCAAAAATGTGATACCTTTACCTTTTTTACTATAATTGAGATATAGAAGACTAAAATAAAGGAAAGTGTTTACATGCCTGGATAGGTTTACTTAATTTGTAAGTAATTTTCCATAACAAAAACCAACTAAACTTACCTTCAATTGTATGACAGTTGCAGACGAAATATTTACGCCGGCTTCTTGTAAACCCTTACAACAAAAAATAGTGTAGAATTATATAAAAAATAAATAATAAATTCATAACAAAAATTAGTGTAAAAATTAATTTAATAAATTTTAAAAAGTTAATAATAAAAATTTAAATAATCATAAAAAAAATAACAAAAACCAGCCACAATGGGTAAGGATATCTAAGTTTATTTATCCTAAAGTCTTTCTTTTACAACAGTTACGCTTAAAAATGTATACAAAACACAGATGAAGTCAAGTAATAAGTTAAGACAGCACAGAACTTCATCGGAAGGACTACAACGGTATAAATATCCATTAGATCACAGATGAATGAACTAATAGTTTAATAATGCTGTAGAACGAAGAGAATTTTATATCAGAGAATTTTATAATTTCCATGGACGAAAATACATCATAGATAGAAATAAATAATGATAAAATTACTATAAAAGTAAAAATTAGTTATAGGATTGGAATATATTTGAATCTGTTTTACGATTGAATTGAAAGGATGAGTTGCAATCACAAATATTTTACAATCCAAAAATTAAAGTATAATACATATTAATCCTAATTTTGAAAACTCTACTGAAGTTATACTGACTTGAAACTTCACATTTTAATTTAGAGATTAATATACAACATCCTATCTGCTAAATACTGGCAACTCGCACAAGATATTGAGTTCTAACGGAGATATAGTACACATTGCTAAAACAACGTTTGATATATGATAAATTTGCCAATAATCAAATCACATAGCAGATTTTAGTCATACAAGTATGACTAAAATTTGTCAATCAAATTTTAAAATCAATTGTCCCTGTTTTGCTACGGAATGGCAACATACTTCACTTTATAATTTGCATTGCATTTTGCAAATACTCTCAATCTCACCTGCAAACTCAAAGGTCCAAAATACTTCAGGCTTCACTGAAAGTGTTATTGAACGTGGGATTTTGACGTTAAGATCGTTAGTTGGATGATGAAAGAAATATATTTTCTAGTATATTATTATCACCTTTCCACAACTCTGGCTATATCACTGATCACAACAAAAATAATATTACTTTGTAAGACATGCTTAGTTTTAATCTAAAATTTGATAAAAATGGAAAGGCAAAGTATTATATCGTATTAACTACTGATATGATATGTCTTGATATTTCGTAAATAAAATTATTTGGTCTTAAAGTCTTAAAATAACTTCAAAGTCTTAAAATCAAATTATATTGTCTTATATTATAGATCCATATTTATTTCTACTGCAATGTGAAAAGTAAAAGAACATAGACCTTAATTTCTCCATTTGCGCTCGGAGAACAGAAGAGCATATTTAACCTTTTTATTCCCTATACATGGGATGCTCGTATGTTCTATGAGAAAATATTCAATAATTACCGTGAAAAGTAAGTAATTCGTAAGAAAGAATAGCAAATTTATTTATTTTATTACACGATTTTCTAATTTATTCAACAAAATTTTAATTTTATTTTAAATCTCAAAAATATAAAAACGACTTCTTAAAAACTTGAAAAAAAAATAAATAAAACTTTTAGTGAAAATTGTAAAAATGAAAATTGTTTAAAATTGAATTCAAAACCGAACCAAACAAACTGAGCATGAAAACCATTTAAATTCACACAAAACCAAAAAAGATACTACAATGTACCGCAACTGAATGCTCCCATTATTATTTTTATTTTATTGAGAAATACTCACTTTCCAAAACCAAACCAAAAATAAAAATCTACAATAAAAATTCAATTGAATTCACATAAAACTACGAAAGGGAATACCAAATTTTATTTTTAGAGGAATTACAGGAAAAAAAAATACCTTAACGGCTACAATTTCAGCGTAACCTAAGGTGCCGCCATGTAAAGTCGTAACTGATCTTTTCAAACCCTAAAAATATTTCATTACAAATCAGATTTTCATTAGAAGAATTTTAGCGAAGCAATTTTAATTTATATTAGTCAGCTTTTTGTATAAATCTCAAAGTATTTACCTTAACAGTTTGAAAGACATCTATGCCCGGATGACCTACATCGCCTTTTTGACCCTTATCACCAGGTCGTCCTGGTGCACCCTTTTCGCCATTAACACCATTAAGGCCCTGTTATATGTCAGCGGTGATAAAAATGATATTCTATATAAAAAATAGTTTCTGTGACTTACCGGGTCGCCTTTATCGCCAGAATCTCCTTTTTTACCACGCTTCCCTCTTTTGCCCTGTGGACCTGGTGGGCCAGGAGGTCCTAAAACAATAAAAAAAATCATTTGAGTAACTTAAATTAATCACATAAAATAAAGTGTTTCTATATGTAAAGGTTCAAATATTTTGTACAATTAATTTAATTACTTTTTAATTGACTTTAGAGTTTTGCTGAAATAAAGTATCTAAAACTTCGTTACTCCTCCTAAAATTGCAATGGCAGTGCGCTCATTAAAATGAAATTGAACATTCTGCGGTTTGATTTATTGCAATTATTTTCGTCTACTACAAAGAGTAAGTTAAGTATGTAATAACTGTCACGTATGTCTGTTTGAGGTAACTTTAATGAAATTTCTCACAGGCTGACATTAACAAATTATTTGGTGAAGCATTTATATAATCTGTTTTAAGTGGAAGTTGAAGAGATCTAAGTATGGGTTGGAAATCAAACAAGTTGTTTTTTATTTAACATCATTAAAAACTATTTGAAGCAATACAAAACGACTTTCATTATGAAAGTCGTTTTATTTCTTTATATTGGAGTCGGCTTTAAGAATAGCCCAAAGCAAGCAATGGGTGATCAACTCATTTAACATTCTCCAAAACAAAAGTATGCATAAATATTATGGGACCTTTGCGAACATGTCTGAGGAAATCTATTAAGGCTCTCTTAGAACTCTTACCTCATTATATTGATATCCAATCTCAAACGAAGAGTTCTATTCTGAGAGCTCAAGATAACCACTGACACAGTTTGGTCATAAGAGGTTTGAACTTGGAATACAGATTTCTAAAATTCATATGTCGTAAAATACGTACCATCGGAAGCTCAGTGGAATGGTATATCGAAAATCTACAATATATACTAAGAACATGTATGCTTGGTATACGGATAGTTTCTTCAGTACATAAGAAGCTAAAGCAGATGTTAATAAATTGAGACTAACATAATCGGAAGCATTTGGGATAAACAAAACTATTTTTCAAGCAGAAATTTACATGATAGTCAGATGTGTTCATTTCAATCTTCAACGCGACTAACAGAATCATGAAATAATTATCGCAATTCATAATCTGGTAGCAATCAAAGTGCTTAATTTCCATGAAGTGATATCAATATTGGTGATGAAGTATAGCAGATAAGCAGAATATGCTTGGCATAAAAAACTATTTCAAATAGAAATGAAATAGCAATTAAAAATGCCAGGAAAAAAGGAACCTCTCTGCGTATAGGTCCGAACGTTCAATTTTTTTTTAAGTGCAGGACTGCTTATGCATATATGGATGGAGAATTAAGGCTCTATGAAGTAGATTCTATACTACAATTTATCGAGGATATTAAATTTATAGAAATACATTGATTTATCCATCTCTATTTGGTTGAATTTGTGTATTCAACCTTTAGAAGGAGCATTTATCATACTTCAATTTCCGTCCTTATCAGAAATATGAGGTGTTTAACAAATATACTTCATTTTTTCAGAAAAACAAACCACAAATGTTTTTAAATAGTTTACGTTTTATTCAAAAAACGACATAAGGGACCATCATCGGGCTTTTTTAACTTAAACAAAACAACATTTTTCATTACTTTTAAGATACATAACGGATATGTGTCTTTATAATTGAGTTTAATTTCTTGAACCCTTAGAAATGTCTGTCATAGGATTAATGCTGACAAAACCAAACTGATTATCTCTAGTAGGCTACTCAAATGCTACTCTTAGGATCTAAGTTATAAAGCAAATATGGAAGTTAATGTAAATCAAAATAAACTGAATTTGACTCATATTGCAATCTTAGCTTCAACAGCGATTATGTAAATAAAATGAGAAGACAACCAGACGATTTGTGTACTTTTGTTGACTTTAGAAACAAACATTGTTAAGTTCCTCAAGTTAAGTTGCTGA